TTATGCTTAATCAGCATATCAATAATATACGCTGCAAAGACTAAGTAGCTCTTCTTTTTTCCCCCTTTAATGAAATCTATAGAAATGGAATGGGTATTTGACTGACAGTACAAAAAGGTTGCATATGCAGGTGCTAGTGGTGGCAGCGCAGGATACAGGCTTTGTAGCTGCTGCCAATCACGTTCAAACATAAGCAAACCTAGCTACTCTATTTTTTAAAAATTCAGTTTCTTTGCCCCCTAGCTGGGCCAAGGTTTGTCTTGAACTGGTTTGAATTAGCTTGACAAGATCAGTGTCACTGATGCCAAGATTATGTACATATGGGATGGCTCAAGCCATGATCACATTCATACAGGGTGATATTATTAACCAGGGGCCATCAGGGAGTTATGTGGGACACATAGATCTCTGAATACCAATGAGCCCTAAATCTTAATATAAATATTCAAGCATTTCTAACAGCTTCTGTTCTATAACCCCAAGTAAAATCAGATTTTACAATGAGATGTGCCACTGCATACTGAGCATGACAACCCCTTCCAGTCATTTTCCAGAATTAGGCAAAATGATTAACCTGATAAAAAAAATCTCTATTGGTTACCTTTTGATAAATCACTGGATGGGGTATGTGGGGAGGGGGAAGGGGGGTATTTATATAAGTAACCTCCCTCCACATATTGACATTTATGGTTTCTGATGGGAATACTGCTGCTGGATTTTGGAAAAGAGTTGGCACAATACCAGCATCCTCATTTGTGAATCACAGCCTCAAGTGCAGTGCTATCAGTTTTACCTTGTAAATCACCAACTCGCTATTTGCAATGCTTCAGTATGATGTGACATCTTTATTATAATTTTTTTCCCCCACTGAAGTTTAAGTTCATATTTTAGTTAGCTGTCTGACAGATATATTTACAGGGTTTAATTAAAGCGGTACAAATAATGTTTCCCTTTTCCACTGCCGTTCAACTTTCCTGTTATTACATCACTTTTATGGCATAAAGTTATACTACAGAGGATTCTTTTTCTTTTTTTTTAAGTTTATATTTCAGTTTTTAGACCTAAAATATCACAATATGTAAAGAAACATGGTTTGAGGTCTGGTTCTTTACCACCATCCCGTGATAAGAAAAATAAATAAATTTACTGCTCTTTGACTTCAGCCTAAGAATGTCATTATTTTATAAGCACATTGGTGCAATTCTATATGTACTGTACAGTTTTATTCCCCATGGATATTATGGTAGGTAGGAACCGCACGTGCAGGAAAAGCTTAGGCAGATTTACTCAAACCAACACTGACTTGTGAAGGCTAAAAAATTGCACTACAGGATACGCACGCCCTTCTGGTAGGGTAACCTAGCAAGCCTGTTTTTCTTACAGCCGTCATGATGCCTTGTATCATTCCTCTGCCAGCTGCTTTGCCTCTTGCTGCTTTAGGCATCCAAGGCAGGAGAGGCACAGCTGCAGGGAGATCAAGAGAGAAGTGGAGTAGAGCAGAGCGGCTGCCAAAAGAATCAAATGAAGCTTTGCAAAACAAAATAATAATAAAAAAAATACACAATGGAGAGACCAGAAACTGATGAGTTTAGGAAATAAATGGTGAGTTCTGTCCCGGGAACCCAGCTCACCAAAGTAACTCATTAAACAGTCTGTGGCTGTAGCAGTAGGAAACTTTGGATTCTACTCCTACCCATCCTGCTCCAGAATGAAAACATTTTTGTGGGGCCTCTTAGGGACACACAGAGGTTTTCTCTGTATAAACATTTTAAACTATTATGTTAAGGCACTGTGGTCAAACAAACAGTACCTTTTAGCATTTCCAGGACACTTGCTAGTCCTAAAGTACTTCATACTCATTAGCTAATTCAGTCCTTTGAGGTAGAGTTGCAAGTGTTGTTATCTCCGAAGGATGGATGGAGAAGCAGACTAAGACAACTTGACCAAAACTACTGAGGGAGCCACTGAAGCTACGTCTACACCAGCAGTGGGTAATGATTTTTTGCTGAGGCCACATTAGAAGGGGCAGGGACTCAAACAGAAGGGGTGGGGCTAGGATCCTTCTGGTGAGTGGTCTGGGGGTGGCAGACCCCTTTGCCCCCTCCCCCAGGTTCTTCCTAGGCACTCATGCCCCTGGCAGTGGGAGGAGCCTTCCTGTGCTCCCCCACCCCCAGGCCAACCAGGGCTTGGGGGCAGGGGAGCACATGAAGTCTCCTCCCGCCCTGCCAGGAGCACATAGCACTTCTAAGTGCCATGTGCTCCTCGCAGAGCAGAGCAGAGCAAGGCAGAGGAAACTTTTCACACTCCTCCCGTCCCCAGGCACTGATTAGCCAGGGAGTGGGGGAGCGTGTGAAGCCTCCTCCTACCCTGCCAGGAGTGCACAGCACTTCAAAGCGCTGCATGCTCCTGGCAGGACGGAGGAAACTTCGTGCACTTCTCCCCACCCCCAGGCTGTAATTAGCCTCTGTGGGCTGAATCAACCCACTTGGCCGGCTGGATCTGGCCTGTGGAGACCCTTTTGCCCACCCCTGGTTTACACAAATGGCGTAGCTTATTTTGAAATTTGGTGTTGTCTACACATCACTTACTTTGAAATGAATAGCTATTCCACTGACTTCTTTAATCCTCATTCAATGAGGTTTACAGGAAGTCAGCATAAGAAGCCTGTTATTTCAAATGTATTTCAAAATAACAGGCTTCTTGCATAGACAGCGCATAATGATATTTTGGAACAATGGATGCTATTCCAAAGTAAATCTGCTGTGTAGACATACCCTCATAGAATTAGAAGCAAAGCTCTGGCCTTTGCAATTCCCAGGCCTGCATTAAGTCCAGGGGCCAGATTTTAGCATGATGATCAGACACAAAATTGGGGACAGATTTTTAAAATATTAAACTGTCATCTTGGCATCTAAATATATGGGCAGGTTTTCAGAAGCAGTCAGCACCAGGAAGCTCATCACTATACTTAGCATTCAAAAACAGAATATTGTCCTTGGAAATTAAAAATCAGAGGGTTTTTAAAAACAAAAAAAATTATCTTGCTAATAGATGGGTTGAAAAACCGTTACACAGTTTCATTTTATATACATACCGTGTCATAATTCCATATACTTCACGCAAATTTGGGTAGAGGAGGTGCAGCACAACGTGCACTGAAGTACAATTAACACTGCATTATTTATAATGAGGTTTGAGTCAGATTTTCTAGCCCAGCAACCAGCAGTTCCCATTTAACCACCTAATGAAGTAGCCATTGGCCTGCTTTTTACGAGTGCTCAGTGCCCACTGGTTCCCACAGAGAACATGGAGTTGTGATAGGGAACATCCATAAAACAAAACAGATGCACAGAATAAAGTTGACAAATGATCTGTTTCAGCAAGAGTTATTAATATTTTAAATTGCCCAACAGAACATGGAAACGTGAGACTTCACACACTAATATCTTCTCACTCCCATGTTAACCATCTAAGTCAGATTATACTCACAGAAATGCCAGAATCTTGACTCAAACTATATCACTGCCTCCTCCAGACAAGCTTATGAATCACAGGACAGTGATAGGTTGGATTTGCTAAAAAGATTGGGCATTTGGTCAAATTCAAGATGTGGCAGGAAGAAAGGCAGACAAAGGAGATGGAGTTACCTTAAATTCTATAACCTAATATCTCCATTGGCAAGAAGCAAAATGGCTATTTAAGTAGAATTTTTCACAAAACTATCAATAATATGGAAGCAAAAGGAACACAGAACTCAGCCCAATTGAAAAATATTACATTGTTTCATCTGCTGTGTGCCAAATAGAGCCCTCAGATGCATGTGTGCAATGCCAAATGAAGCCTCTACCAAATCCAAGGAGAGAATTTGGCCCCAGGTGCTTTACTGTTGCATTCAATTACTCAAACAGCAATAAAGAGTGTATTAGATTTCCAAACGGCTCTTGGGTTTGTTTTTTTTCCCATTGTTCTTCTAATTTACAGGTGAGAGGGGATAGGACAAACACCGAGAATGAAGAGGAATAATTTAGTATGGTACCCAGGAGCATGACACAACGAGGAGTAATGGAAATAAATTAAGAAAGGAATATTTAGACTGCATATATGGGGGAATTTTTCTGACAGACACATATTAAGCTGTGGGTTACATTTCCAACAGAGAGGGAGGAAGCTTCATAACTTGGGATTTTAAAATTGACTGTGCAAAGAATATTTTGAAAAATCTACTCAAGTGAACCATCCTGCTTTGTGAAACAGGAATACTGAAGTTTATGATTTCCCAGTAGATAAAAAAGTTTCAGCTATCAAATGGGTAACCTCTCCTTTAGCAATTGTAATAACAAACAACAAAGAGATAAACCGTTTAGTAAATCATAAATCAAATTTAAAAAACCCAAACAGACAGAATTTATATACGTCTCTTTTGCTTCAAAAAGTTTAAAAGCCAGAAGGTTAAGAATCCTAACACTGGACAATTTCAAAGTTACAAATAAGAGATCCAGTTGAATTTGTGCAAGATAATATTAGAAAATGTACAAGAAAACACGCAAGATATGCACCAAGACATGTGCCTAAATTTTACCACAGAGAGAAAAGCACCTTTACAATAAGTTTGGGGGGGGGAGGGAGGGACACAGACTGTGACATCTGCTGAAAATCCTAGTTTCATCTAAGAGCATCACTAAGCAGAATAGTTCCATGTTAAAAATGCACATAACAGGAGGAAAGATTTAAAGACAATTTGCATAAAATAGGGGAAGTACCACCCCTTTAATTATTTCCATTAGGGGTGACCTCACCATGGGGATTACATGCAGCATGATGTATGTTTGAATGAAAAGGTACCATAGTAATACAGCACAAACCCTCATTTCAAGTTTAGAATAGACTATTTTTGAAGCTCCAAAGAGCCCCAGTGTAGCGTTCTCTGAAGAGGAAACAATAGTTAAATAGCACATTGATCTGTAGCAGCATTTTCCCATTTCACAGTCTAGTGAACTCACCCCATGTGATGGGTAGGAGATCCAGCCCAGCTCCCCTTGAATTGCTTTTGAATCCAGCAGATTAACTACAAAAGAAGACAAAATGAAGAAGAATGAGTTTCATTTGCCTCTAACCAGTTAACCACAGTTAGTCTCTACTAAAAGATGTGTTTATTTGGGGGCTGTACAAAGTGGCTGATTTGTTCAGGTGGCCTGACTATTTATTACATGAAGCAGATGAAAAGGATCAGCTTGTTTATATTAAAACACTGTAAGTACAGAGGAGGAAGAACTTTTAAAACAATTGGCAAAACTAAGCAATGGCTAAGATCTCTGTCAAAATTCATTACAGTGGGGTGGGGGAGGAATAGGGTGGGGAGCTTTGAACACTTATCTGCAGTGGACAGTGCAAGGCTCTCCCATCATATGTCTGAAACTTGGGTCAATATATCTAACTATATAGATGAGAGGTGAAAATTTAAATTATTTGATTAAAACATACATTTCCATATGCAAGTTAGCATACAAACATAAATGATGACTAAGAGTTTTACACCTTCTTACTTTTTATCAGATTGATTCCCCAAATCATCTTCCACTAATGGAGTATTTTCTAAATTGTAGTAAGTAAAATACTAGATTTGTGTAAACCATAGTGCTTTCAATTCAAGATAACATCTTAAGGATGACTGTCACTGCATAGCTATCCTCAGAGTTATTCTTTTTTTTAAACCTTCTACTAGAAGAATACAGATTTTATTTTGAAATACCTTTGAAATGTATCAGAGGGGTAGCTGTGTTAGTCTGAATCTGCAAAAGCGATGCTTTGAAATGTAAAATAACTACTCAACCAAATGAAGTTTTAAGTTCTAAGAGTGTTATAAAATAGACCCAATAATGCCTCTTATTTTTGGATACTGCTTTAAAAAAAATAAAAAAATAAAAAAAAGCAAGTTTTATTCCATTTGATGCTGTGGTGTTCAACACACTAGCTACTAACCACAACTGAGAGTGTTATAAAATAGACCCAATAATGCCCCTTATTTTCGGATACTGCTTAAAAAAAAAAAAAAAAAAAAAAGCAAGTTTTATTCCATTTGATGCTGTGGTGTTCAACACACTAGCTACTAACCACAACTGGCCATTCGAATTGCTACTGCTTCAGAATTGGTTGGACACTACGGCATTAGAGTCTACAAGTAACTGATTACATGGTTCCACAAACTACACATTTATTAACATGAACCAGAACACACAAATCAATGCATACCAGTTAAAGTATCAATGCCAATCAATAAGACATTTATTAACATGAACCAGAACACACTAATCAATGCATACCAGTTACAAAGTATCAATGCCAATCAATAAAACACATTAATACACAACAACGGGAACCCATACATCTCCAACATTTATCATTTATAATTAGGGATTTTTGTTTGAAATATATAAACTATTGGCAAAGACAAAAGGAAGAAATCTCATTCCACATAAGGGAGCTTTAACATCTCAGTATGATGGGTCTTTCAAAAAGAAATAACCGCTCTAACAGTCTAGGTTAGGCTGTTATGTAGTAGGGTTCCGTTTGTAAGCCTGAAGGGTTGTCACTGTTCCCACGACCAGATGGTCTAAGCATCAGTGCTCAGAGAAAGGAAAGGAATGGGATTAGGAGGAAAAAAAACCCTCTGAAATTGTCTGTAAATCTATTAAGTAGAGCTATCCGTACTAATTTTGGCATTCTCCAGGACTTGCTATTTAATTGTGGACCTTACTAATAAAATGAAGCAATTAAAACTTTTGAAAAGGTTTCACACAGTGGGGAAAAGGGGTGGAAAAGCAGGTGTATGCTATCAGAAATAGAGGAAAAACACCACATCATTATACGGATATATAATTTAATATATAATTTTCACCATTGTGTTATTCCACACTGAATGACTTACTCTCTGGTCTGTGGAAAGCACTTCCCTTATAATTACACGCCCATTTTTAAAGAAACCTACATTCTGATTTTTCATTTTTTTCTAAGGCCAAGTCTACACTACAAACTTAGGTCAACATAAGCTGCATTAAGTCAATCTTATAATATACGTGTCTACATTACCAAGTCCCATCTGCTGACCTAAGTGGCTTATAAAGTTGACTTCTATACTGCACTTCCATGAGAGGCACAGTGCTTGATTCAACATCTAGAGGTTGACATGGGGATAGTGTCAACACAGCATTGTGAAATTCAAATGAATTGGTTTCCAGGAGTTATCCCACTGTGCTCTTCTGTGACCACTCTGGAGAGAACTTTCAACTCCACTTCATGGCAGCCAGATAGACATGATACAGTCCCTTCCCCTGTTAAAGCCCCAGGAACTTCTGAATTTTAACTTCCTGTTTGATCATCGTGGAGAGCTCATTGATCATAGTGACTCAAGGCCACCAACATGCTCAAGCTTGGAGTACAAATAAGGTAGTAGATTTTACTGATGTGTGAGGAAAAGACAGGCAAAGCTCTGATCCAGCAGAAGAAACACTGACATCTATGCCAAGATTACTCAGGGCATGGTGGAAAAGCCATATCAAGGACACGTAGAAGTAAAACATAAACATAAAGGTGCTTTGGCAATTGTACCAGAAAACAAGGGATATGAACAGTCATTCTGGTTCTGCCCCTCACACATGCTGCTTATGAGAGGAGCTACATGAGATACTTGGCAGCAACCCTACAACTACACCAAAACAACTACCCCAAAACACTCTGGGTATGTCTAAACTACATAGCTCCATCGACGGAGCCATGTAAATTAGTATACTCGAAAAAGGGAAATGAAGCTGCCGCGCTGTGCCGATCAGCTGTTTGGCGGCACAATGTGGTAGTCTGGACGCTCCGCGGTTGACAAGGGCTTCCCTTGTCGACCACGGAGCGTCCAGACTACCGCACTGTGCCGCCAAACAGCTGATCGGCACAGCGCGGCAGCCATTTTGATGTAAATGAAGCAGCCATTATTTAAATCGCCACTTCATTTCCCTATTTCTAGAAACCTCATCTACATGGCTCCATCAACGGAGCCATGTAGTCTAGACATACCCTCTGTGTATATCTCCCAGGAGCCTCAAGTGACCTCAACCAACAACGAGGAGAACATTGGTGAAGAGGAAGAGGAGGAGAAGTAAGAGGAGGAAAATGTGAGGCAGGCAAGCAGAGAATCCCTTCTCCCCAGCAGCCAAGAACTGTTTTCAATTCTGGAGCCCATCCTTTCACTGGACTAGTTGGAGGTACAGCGTGATGCCGGGAAAGGCCACTTTTCCAATCCAACTGTGGGGGTTACATGCTATAGAAGAAAGTAGTCATAGTGGGTTTCTCAAAAGACTGCCTTATTTTGTCCATCATGGTAGGACACTTTCCCACACCACTCCAGTGTTAACTCTGCTGGCATCCTTGCAGCACAGCATGGCAGCATAAAGACCAGGTTTGTACTCAGAGGCTGGCAGCATCTGTTCCATTGCCATAAAGTGTGGATCCACTGGAGCAAGGAGGAAACATCTGCTGTCCCTCTACCATACCCAGGGGAGTGGCATTAGAGTCAGAGAGCTCAACAGCAGAGCAACCCCACCTATCATCCTGACTAAGTACTTGGGGTCTGACAGTCACCCAGTTCCAACTGTCATTCTCCACAAAGTTGCCTGTGTCATACTAATGGTGAGCAATGAGAGTCCTGGTACATACCTCCCTGCCTATTTTAGATGGCTGCCAAGAAAAATTTCCCAGTACCCAACAATTACCACACTGTAGTGTGAACCATTACGGTTTCATACCAGGAGGAGACAGTGGACAAAATGGTGACACTCTTGGCCCACAAGGAGCACAGTGTCTCATCATTTTGCATCAACTTCAGGTCCATCGGCAAAATCCCAATTCTTTTACAGCTGAAAGCTGTTTATTTTATCCTTTTCATCTCACCAGGAACTGGCCACGCGGGACACCAATAACTATTTTGGTCGCACCTCACCCCAACTAGTATTATTACTTAAAGAACTGGAATTTCAAGACAAGACAGAAATGAGAAAAGCATAGAGATGTGACAGACATATGGGGGTTGGGAGGAAAAGCTACCCAAACCTAGCACACTGGATTTTCCTGTGCATTTTATGGCTATCACTAGGTAAAATGGCTTATGGTCATCGCACAGTCACTGTAACCTACATTTCACAGTTGAAGAGTTAACGTGACTGCATGTACAAGAGGCTTCACTGAATTCCTTTCAGACACATATTGTTCCCCTTCTTTGGTATCTGCATGTTGTCTGATTTGGCCTCGTTACCTCAGCACAAATTAAAATGACATGTTTGAAGTTTCCCCCGTCATAACCATTAGTGTACACAGTATTCATTTATATAACACTATTCCCAAGGTATCAATGGCATTAACCAACTTAGAATGAACAAATTACAGTACAAGAGAAAGTCTGCAATTTAGACTTAAAAATAGCAACTAAATTAGCTAATAGTATCCATCTGGGGGGTGGGGGAAAGTGGGAAGTCTTCCAAAGAGGAATGAGGTGGTGAAAAGCACATATTAAGCAGTAGCAGCCAGGTTATCATCTGCAGCATTCAAGTTCTGACTGCTCAGATTGAATGCAATAAAAGTCTTCATTTATCTACTCTCCAGTTTGTTTTGTCCCTCCTTCCACCTCTCCCTTACCCCCCAAAAGAAGAACCACACACACTACTTCCACCTGTACCCTACCTGTTTCACTAACACTTGCAAATAGTTATATACTGATATGTTCAAGAAGGCAAACGCTATGCTCCAGATCTGTCATTCCAAAACAGATAATTTGTGTCAAGCTTATTGATAAACTTGGTATATCCCACATCACTTTGTTCTGGGACGGGCATAGACTGATAAGTCTACTGCATGTTACATCTCCAGTAGAAAGAAATTGGAAAGCCCTATGTACCTTCACTTGGTCTTATCCCCACTCATCACAAACATCAATTTCTTCTTCTGTTAAAAGGTGGGAGCTCAGAAGGAAGAGAGCATGGGTGGGAAACAATCAAAGGAAAAACACCTGTGGGATATTGACTGTCC